ATCAATGTGATTCAGTGTACATAAATAAATCAGTGTGATTCAGTGCACATAAATACATCAGTGTAATTCAGTGTACATAAATAAATCAGTGTGATTCAGTGTGCATAAATAAATCAGTGTAATTCAGTGCACATAAATAAATCAGTGTGATTCAGTGCACATAAATAAATCAGTGTGATTCAGTGCACATAAATAAATCAGTGTAATTCAGTGCACATAAATAAATCATTGTGATTCAGTGTACATAAATAAATTAGTGTGATTTAGTGTACATAAATGAATCAATGTGATTCAGTGTACATAAATAAATCAGTGTGATTCAGTGCACATAAATAAATCAGTGTAATTCAGTGTACATAAATAAATCAGTGTGATTCAGTGTGCATAAATAAATCAGTGTGATTCAGTGTACATAAATGAATCAGTGTGATTCAGTGCACATAAATCAGTGTACATAAATAAATCAGTGTAATTCAGTGTACATAAATGAATCAGTGTGATTCAGTGCACATAAATAAATCAGTGTGATTCAGTGTACATAAATGAATCAGTGTAATTCAGTGCACATAAATAAATCAGTGTGATTCAGTGTACATAAATAAATCAGAGTGATTCAGTGTACATAAATAAATCAGTGTGATTCAGTGTACATAAATAAATCAGTGTGATTCAGTGCACATAAATAAATCAGTGTGATTCAGTGTACATAAATGAATCAGTGTAATTCAGTGCACATAAATAAATCAGTGTGATTCAGTGTACATAAATAAATCAGTGTAATTCAGTGCACATAAATAAATCAGTGTGATTCAGTGCACATAAATAAATCAGTGTGATTCAGTGCACATAAATAAATCAGTGTGATTCAGTGTACATAAATAAATCAGTGTGATTCAGTGTACATAAATGAATCAATGTGATTCAATGTACATAAATGAATCAGTGTGATTCAGTGCACATAAATGAATCAGTGTGATTCAGTGTACATAAATGAATCAGTGTGATTCAGTGCACATAAATAAATCAGTGTGATTCAGTGTACATAAATGAATCAGTGTGATTCAGTGTACATAAATGAATCAATGTGATTCAGTGTGCATGAATAAATCAGTGTGATTCAGTGTGCATAAATAAATCAGTGTGATTCAGTGTGCATGAATAAATCAGTGTGATTCAGTGCACATACATAAATCAGTGTGATTCAGTGTACATAAATAAATCAGTGTGATTCAGTGTGCATAAATGAATCAGTGTGATTCAGTGTGCATAAATAAATCAGTGTGATTCAGTGTACATAAATAAATCAGTATGATTCAGTGTACATAAATAAATCAGTGTGATTCAGTGTACATAAATAAATCAGTATGATTCAGTGTACATAAATAAATCAGTGTGATTCAGTGTACATAAATAAATCAGTGTGATTCAGTGTACAATAAATCAGTGTGATTCAGTGCACATAAATAAATCAGTATGATTCAGTGTACATAAATAAATCAGTGTGATTCAGTGTACATAAATAAATCAGTGTGATTCAGTGTACAATAAATCAGTGTGATTCAGTGCACATACATAAATCAGTGTGATTCAGTGTACAATAAATCAGTGTGATTCAGGGTACAATAAATCAGTGTGATTCAGTGCACATAAATAAATCAGTGTGATTCAGGGGTTTTCCTATGAACAGTGCAAAGTACAACAGACTTAAATCAGTATTACATGCTCAGCTTAAACAACCAATGACAACTTACAGTAATAAATTTAACAATTTGTTTCTTTTGTTGTAGACACGCAAGATGTAGAGGAGTCATCCCACTGAAATCCTGAATATTAATGCATGATCTATCTTTATCTAGTAATAACGATATTATTTCCAAAGACTTATTTTCATTGTTACAATCCACTGCACGATGTAATGCTGTACAACCATCTCTGCTGTTGTAGTCACATATGTGATTTAAAATCCTCTTTAATACTGAAATCAATACAACATAAGATTACTAGTTACATTTAGTATTTAGAAATCCAAATATCTCACATTATTACTTTCTAATGAGTTTCTAATGCACCTAATGACCCCAAAGGTGACATATTCTGGTACTGGAGGTATTATTAAAATAGCAGACTAGTACTAATTTCCATCCGAATCTAATTTTTTATAAGTTGGACTTGATATTTAACTCATTTTAACCTCAGCAAATTCCTGCTAACCACAAGGAAATCACTGTCACAACTGAAATTGTTATTAAAATACTATAACAAAGAACAGAATTTGATTCACAACCAAAAAAGAATGATGGTCAACTATTTCAATGTTACTGACATACATGACAATACACTGTATATGGTATTAATTGTGTTACTACTTACCAGCTGATAGATTGTACGGTGGATTATTATGCTCACTAAAACTTGTTAGATATATTTCATCTTTCCTAAGATCTGAGTCAGGACCAACAGCTTCTTGAAATGCCTGTTCACGTCTGTTAAACTCTCTTTTGGGATCAATGGCTCTTTGATGCCTGGCAGCGGCGGCTACAGCTGAAACAAAGTAACAACATAAATTTATTATTATTTATTACAATAACTTATTAATCACACACTAAATATACTGCTTCTCCGTGCACTGAACAATAACAAGTAAATTAAAAAACATAACGAAAAATTACATTAAATTTACAAATCAGTAACTTTGTTTTAATAAGAAGAAACGTCTTCAGATATGGTAATAATTGAACTAATGTGAAGTCTCAAAGAAACTTCAATCCACAAAGCTGCAACAATGAGAGAAAATACCTTCCAGTCATACGATATTTAAAATTTATAAATAACTGTTGCCTTTTTTCTCTCAAGTTACCACACCCCTTTCGTAAGAATATTTATTTTAATGATAATGATAGCATTCTTGTGTTACCTCTATAGACATAGGCATGGTAAATTGAAATATTATATTTTGTAGCATATTTGATATTTGTCTGGTGGTAGCATTCTGCAACCAACTTGGTGCCTCATTTGTTTATTTTTTTTACACTCACCAGCCATTTCATCTGTGTCTGAGTTACCAGGGCTGTAGGGTAGTTTCAACATAGGACTCACTCTATAGAACCAGTTTCTCATTGAAAAGTTACCAGATGCATTGAATTCACCAGACTGTAGTAAACCAGATGGTGTCTTACAACGTCTTGGATTATTATACATAAATGTACTCTCTGTGTCACTGTGTTCAGATGCTGAGCTCACATCAGTACGTGTACCTACAAATATACAACCTTAAGTCATTATAAAACATTTACAGTGTAGCTCACATCAAAACATTTGCCACTGAATCATTGAGACATGTCGAAATATTTGGATATTTAATGAAATCACAAAATATGAGATATAGTGACAAATTAAAGTGGCCATCTGTCACCAATTTTGAATCAGGTTGCAATATTTACTGTAATTTTTACTTAGTTTGATTTGGTGTGGTTTTTTTAAGTACCATATCAACCAGATTCAGTTGTTCAATATTTGTCATTTAACATTTTTTTTTTATTGAAAGAGAACTTCATGAGTGCATTTGTTTTACTGCCTAGCTGTGCCTTGGGTCAGCTGTTATGCGATGTCACAACTTGGATTTGAAGATATCTTCACGAAATGAACAAATGTGAGAGAGATCCATCAAAGGTACATATCAAGTATCAAAGAAAATGGACTTGCTGTTTTCAAGAAGAAATTAAAAATGTAAAGTTGATGCCAATAGACAGTAATATGAACAGCTCTGCTCTGATCAACTATAAAACCAACAGAAGGGCAAACCAATTTCATACACTTTACACAAGTTGCTTGCTTAGCAAGGATATACAATGTATTACAATTATGTGAAACTACTACTCAGGATTACACAACTTCTTCTGGAAGCCTTTTGTTGTCAAGGGTTACTACTTCAAAAAAGTGACAAAGAGTTCATTGCACATAAAAGTATTATGGGCACTGTGAAGAGACTTCTTTTCATCCTTCCTTAAAGCAAGCCCATTGTCACTAGAGGGTGCAACATACAGGAATTTCTTGAGATTTTGCTAAATTATTCCCTGAGTTTTGCTGTTTTAACCCCCCCCCCCCAAAAAAAAAGCTTGTGGTATGCTACTTGCATGACTGTTTAAATTAGGAACCTTTATCTATTTTTCCAATTTTCGAATTCAAAATGGCTGCCAAGGTAGGGTTTAATGCAATAAGGGAATTACAGAGACATTCATTTCCACGAAAGCAATTTCCTAAATTTTCTCTTTCACATTTATTTGATGGAAATAGCACTGTAATATCTGGAATTTGTAGGGCTAATAAAATATGCACATTTTTACATCCATGTAGTCACCTTTTTTGACTTGACTTTGTAGGAACTTATAAGCATCCATTTGAATGGTCAGAGATTTCACTCACCTAATAATAACTTTTATTAAATTTTTAGAAATATACATATGTGTTTATCGGTTTATGACAACAAAAAATAATACAATGAGTACAAATAATGTGATAACAAATGATGTAAATTGTTTTTCTTACCTAGATATCTCGATATAACCATAGTTGAGGAGTTATTATCTACATACGCACCGGAATCATCAGAGTTTTCAGGAATCCAATTACTGCAAATACAAAAATTAGAATTTATTGTCTAGCATAGAAGGGGAATCATTTTAAGTTTAGAGTTTACTTTTAATGCTGTGTTTTACTAAGATAAAGACTGAGATGTAAGATGTGGTCTTCCATCACCATGCTTGAAATTTTATAATATGCAGTAACAGACGGTTTTCATTCAGAATTTACAAAGAAAGTACTTTTTTTGTGTTCCAAACAGTTCTCATTTACTAGTTTAATTGTTCTCAACAATGCCCATTTACTAGGAGAGAACATGGTTCACAATTCACAGCAATCCCAACTATTAAAACATAGCGTAACTGTTACAACCTTGTCCATAGAGAACATGGATTAAATATTACAAATGTATAGATTGATAGTAAACTAACGATGCTAACTAACTTGCTTGGAAAAAGTGAGTATAGAAGTCTTGAAACAATGCAATAATATATTATCTAAGCATTTTGCAAAGAAAATACAGACTAAAAAAGTCATCACAACTACAACATGTACTGTAATAATCTCAATGTTCCTCATAGAATAATATAACTTGAATGGTATAAAAAGTTTCCAAAATCGTAATATATGGTCAGAAACTAAACAGGATATGCTATTCATGCATTTTTTTGTATCAAAACTGAATTTCATTTGTCCAGGCTCATGTACAGAGATACAAAACACAAAACGAATCATCAATCCCAAACAGGCCAGTACTGTTAGACATCAATTTAAACAGACCTAAGCAGACAGGGTCACACAAAGCACCATGTTACAAAAGATAGGATATCTATCACCAGTGATATGTAATATTACATGTATTGGTAGCAGCTATGTACCAAGTTTCATTAAAATGCAATGAGAAGTTCTTAGATATCATTAAAACAGTCATGGAACAGCTAAAAATTAGCTTATTATCATGCAAATTAGGTAGTTAAAATTAATTAATATACATGGATTTAACCAAGACCTGATCAAATATGCACATTAGCCTGGAGCATCTATGCATGAAGTTTCATCAAAAATCAGTTCTTGTATGGTTATGAGATATCAGTGGAATAGGCAGACGCAGACACGCAGACACACATACTGACACACTAACTGCAAAGACTCCCAATGTGTATATCGCACATGGAAGTCAAAAACAAAGTAAACACTATCAAATGCATCTATGAATTGAGGTGTTGATGTATTTATTAATCAATTTAGCAAGCGCAATGTTTACACTAATATTTTTGTTACTATTAAAAATATAAATCTAATATTTGCTGAAAAGGGTGAAATTGGTCAAATTCGTCATGCAAACTTCATATAGTAATTTTCTTTTATCATTGGATACATAATTTTAACATTTGAATTCTTACCTGTCCATGTTACCATCTTCCACTTGTCGGTGAATTGCAGATTGCACTAAAAACCTGACAACATCAACCCTTCCATAGTAACAAGCAGCCATCAATGGTGAATCATCTTTTAAATCACGTAAATTGTGATCAAATCGAGGCTGAAAAAAGATTAAATGCAAATATCAACTGTATATACAAACTGCTAAAGTCAATAATAAGAGAAAGGCACACAACTAGGATACGAAATAGAGTCACACTGATCACAGTTCCTTTACGTCTATAGTGGGACTGTGCACTGACCATAAAAAATATTGATCAAAGAAAGCTTAGAAAGAACTCCCATGTGCTGAGAGTATTGGAAACACATTAAATATAATTCGAAATTACTTAGCTGAAAACTAATTATGCAAATCAGAAAATTAATATGACCAGATTTGAGTGTAAAACTAATGAGGTCTGCACAATGTAACAGAAAATCTATGTCTCCAAGTTTAATTGAAATGTGATTAGAACCAAAAAATTATGAATTATTATGCTTATTAGGGAATTAATATGAACAGA